AATCGGAGTAAGACTCGAAGTGACCTTACAGGAAGGTTTCTTTACGGGCAATCTGAGTTCCGCGGAGTAACTCCACTTACTCTTGCCCTGATGGTTGATTAAGCCTTGCTACTCGGAGTAGGGCCTCGAAGGGTAAACCCGATGAAACCGCAAAATTCGTTTCTATTTTTCAGGGAAGCCCACCTCAAACACTTTCAAAACTTCCCATTCCCCATACTCCCAGTGGTTCTTGATGTTGTCTTTTTGTAGCCCAGTTACCCTTGGTGAGATTAATTTTTCTTGTTGACAAACGGGGCAGTCTGGGCAGAACGCAACAGTGGTTTTAACGAAATTGCGTTCACGAACCTCGCAACTTCCCTAAGCGGAGTGACGAGGGCGTGCCGATCACCCCTCGGAGTAGGGAAACCCACAGGAGCAGAGGGGAAGCATCTGCACACACGTGTCCACACGTGTGTGCCAAGCGAACGGAGACTACTCCGCTTAAGGGCTACCGATCAGGGCCTAGATTTGAACTCAAGCCCGTCCCAGTTCCTGCATCCTCCTCAGGCCGCCACGCAAGTTGCGCTTTACGGCGAATGAGAGAGTTCTGATGAAGACCGCCTCCCCCCCGCTCTTCCGCTCACACCTCGACCTGCATTAGCTAACGATGTAGCAGCAGGGCCACCTCGCGACAGCACAGTGTATCTCGGGCAGAAATACACGACAATCCGTCATGCGTCCAAGGGAGAGAGTAGCAACGTGTACAGACAAACGCGTCATGGAGATGGAGCGGACTTGCGAGACTCGTTGCGCTGCATCTACGTCGTTCCGGCGCGCTTTCTCTTGGTCTCATCGTTCGTCTACTGCAAGCCCCGCAGACCCTCACGAGCTCAAATCTCGACGCTCTCCGTCGTCCGTCATCCAAATCCCCGAGTTCAGATTCCTTGTCGAGAAGCTTTCCTACCCGCACATAGTGCGCACGTCGAGCCACTGCCGCCTCAGTGCGGAAGCGACGAGCCGTTCTTCACTCTCGCTGCTCATCAGCCTCGATACGGCATAGTAGGAAGTAGTTGCACGAGCATTATCCTTACCCTGTCATACATTCTGTAACTGGCTCCATGGATTGCCCATCTGCGACACTTGGTGTGGCGAAGAGTGGCGAAATGATGCCAATGTCGCATGGCGAGGGACGGCATGACGTCGCGATGGATGCGATCGTGGCGAGCTGTTACACCACCGACAGCGATGACAGTCGGGCACCGCAATTCCACGAATCTGTCTCCGCGAGCCCGTCGATGCGACGGGTGGCTTGCAGGAGAGCGGCGAATGCGGGGCGGACGCGGCAGTACATGGCGCGATGGACGCCTGAGGTGAGCTCCCGTCACATGCCTACTGGAAGCGCCATGTTTTCCGCGCCGCATTGATTCTCATCCGCTCGGGTCGACCGCTCTCTCTCGCAGCATGGGTACCCGGCGCTTTTCTTCCTCTTTCCTCCCCCTCCCGTCCCCCCCCCCCTCTCGCCTTGCCCGTTGTTGCGCGCAGAAGGTCGCGATTCTATTGCTGCACGTAGTGCTTGTTTCCGCCTCGTCTCAATTCTTCCCCTTTCCTCCCCCCCCGCCCTGTGCGCGCAGGAGGACGCGGTGCTGTTGGAGCACGTGATGGCGCATGGCACGGCGGAGTGGGGGCAGCTCAGGGCGAGCGGACGACTGCCGCTGCGCGACAACAAGGCGTGCTGCAACCGCTTCCTGCTTCTCAAGAGGTATGCTACAGCCGCTTCCTGCTCCTCAAGAGGTATTCTATAGCCGCTTCCTGCTCCTCAAGAGGTGTGCTGCTGCTGCTCCCTGGCTTGCCACAACGTTTCCGCCCCGGTTGTGCTCATCTTCTCCCCGCCATGCAACACTCCTCTCCCCCGCCTTGTGCATCACCCTCTCCCCCCCGGCCCCACCCCACCCCACATGCGCTTCTCCTCTTCCCCCTGTGCGTTGCAGGAAGTTCCTCCAGCACGAGCAGCAGCAACAGCCTCAGCCGCAGCCAGAGCCGGAATTTCCCTCCTTTCATCGCCTCCACCGCCCTCCACACCCCAGCATACGCCCCTGCGGCCTGCAACCGCGTGACACCGAACTGCACTCCTCACCATGCGACCTAGCGGGCACCACACCACCAGGAGTCCGCCCGGAGGCGTCTTCTGGGGCATTGGTGAAGGCGACTCACGCGACCCATGCAACGCACACAAGTGACAATGCTTGGCAGTGGCAGGGCGACGTGCCGCGTGCAACAGCGTCACGGCAGCAACAGGCCCACCTGCACCTGCTGGAGCAGTCCCGCCCTCACCACACCGCCATAGGGGCCGCCAGGCAGGGGCCTGCTGCTCTGTGCCATGGCGTGGTGGGTCCCGGACTCGATAGCGCTGTGGTTGGCCCGTGTGCGCCCTATGATGCTGTGGCTTTCGTGAGTGTGAGTGAGAGCAAGCGCATCAAGTCTGGTGGCGATGAGTACAATGGGCCGCTAGTGTGGGAGCAATGGCGTGCCGTGACACAGCAGCTGCAGCAGCAGCAGCAGCAGCAGCAGCATGACTCTATGCAATTCAGAATGTGCGACGAGCAGATTGGGAAGGAAAGCGCTAGTGCCTCCCCTGCCCTGTCCTCCTGGTGTCACGTGTCAGATTCTCCCTCTGCCACCGCTACAGCCACCTCTCCCTTCAATGACGCGCCGCCTCACCGGATGGTAGCAGCTTCCCCTCCCACTCCATCTCGCGCCCCAGATCCCTCCGCGCCTACCACAAGTGATTCCGTTGCCGCCCAGCCTGCTTCGCAGTGTGCCGCCCAGCGCCACGACCCGAGCGCCTTGTGTCCACCCTCTCCGCTGAGTGTTCTTCTCGATACCCTGCCTCCCCTCCCTCCCCTCTCGCCTCTGCCCCCCCTTCCTCCCTTCCCCCTTTCGCCTGGATCCGAGCTCCCTGCAATCACTGCCCCTTCCCCCCGCCCCTGTAGTGCCGCTGCTGCTCCTCCTCCTGTTCCTCCTGCTCCTGTCCCTCCTGTCCCTCCTGCTGCTCCTGCCACTCCTGCTGCTCCAGCCACTCCTGCTGCTGCTCCACCTGCGCTTGCCAGTGCTGCTGCTGCCACGTGTGTGGGGGCGGGCGCACTGGAGGGGCAGCGGGAGGCGGATTTGGACAGGTGGATTCTGGAACAGGTGGGGCTCATGGCGGGGGGGCATGGGGGATCTGAGCAGGCCGTTCTGGGCTTGAGGCGTCAGAGCAGTGATGGGGGGCGAGCACCGGGAATGCGAGGAGGGTGGTATGGAAGCACGTGATTGAGGCCAGGTGGGAGACAAGGAGGTACTGAGGTGTGCAGGGGATGGGAGAGAGCATAATGCAGCGTGGGGAGGGGGTGTGAATGGGCGGAAGCCTTTGAGGGGGGAGAAAAGCAGCCGTTTTGAAGCCTGGAAAGGCAAGGAGGGATAAGCCCCAGAAGGCAGCATGCTTCAAAGATGATACGCGATCGGCAAGTCTTTGTGTACATATATCGTTTCATTTATGCCGAGGTTTTGATCAGTCTGGTTACGCTTCGATTCCCAAGCTTGAAGGCGTATGTGCAGCGCAGCTATTCGTGGTACGCTTTGAGGGGGGATAATGTGAAACAAATATCAAACACCCGCCTGCCGTATTAAACCAAGCAAGCCAGGCAAGCCTGCACAGTCTATCATACTATGTCGTGGATTTTTTATAAGCGCAGGGAACAAATGAATGACACATAGATTTCGGGCATTTCACACTAAGTTGCAGTTTCGGTGTGTACCACCTCAATCGAGTCGACGTTATAGGGGGACATGCCTGGGAATCAAACGGGGCGTTCGTGTCGTCGTGGCCCTTCCAGCCTCTTTCTCGATCCATCCAAAGGTGTCTTCCTGGCTGTGTATAGTTCAGCATATTCGTTCCGTCCATTGTGCGGGTGGAGAAGCAGCACTCTGGGGACCAATGGGTGCAGCCTATTGTCATCAAACGTTGTCGATTGGTCGACACCACCCACGCGAGTAAAACCAATCGGCATCGAGTTGGTCTCCTATATTTTTTCGCAAACATGAGACCTGCCTACTGTATAATGTACCAAACATAAGACAATCCTACTCAATTGAAAACAGTTCAACTTTACAAGTATAATGAGTTCACAAAAAAAAGTGTGTGATTGGGGGATATTTCCACAAGGTTAGGGGGGAATGGGCCCTTTGAGTTGTGGTGCGGGACTGTTGACAAGTGGATATTTCCAAGTGGACTTATCCCACCCCATCCAATGATTGCGACAAGGCCAAACTGAGCGCATGTGGCCACGTCACACAGATCTCCATCCGCGCTGGCAAAGGACGCCTGTGTGAAATGTCCTCCGTGCCTTCGTCGACGAATAATTCCGTCGAAGCGCCAGTTTCCACGCCAGCAATGTGTGCATACATTTCTACATTCGCCACAAAATTCCGCCCCCCGACACGCGAAATCCCATCAAATCCCTTCGGCTCGACTCGTGCTCAAACAAACTCCGCCCGTAAATGGATGGCCCGGAGCGCGCCAGCTGGAGCAGACTTGCTCGCGCGTGCTCTTCAGGTAGCTTTCGCGCAAGGGTCACTCCGCAATCCTTTTTGAACGAGCGGACCAAGACGGAACAGACCGAACGAACGAGCACTGCAGTCGCACGCACCACCGCGGCGTGACACACGACATGCACGGAATGAGCACCATAAATCCACAACCCGAATTCTCCAAAATTTGAATCGTCCATGCAAGTGATTCTCTAGGGAGAATCATAGACATCACGTCATCGTGTAGACACGCAGAGAATCGCGATGAGCGCGTTGATGCAGCCGAGGCCGCCGCCAGTAGCGGCGCCGCGGAAGCGACTACGACAAATGCTAGCTTCTAGCGACGGCGGGAAACGGGTCGTCGAATGTGACCGTTACGCGAAGAAGCCGGCCCTCATGTGCGGCTCGGTACTGGATCATAACGGCGAGGAGATTGGCGTCCCGGCCGACGCGGTTCACGCTTGGCTGAACGCTTCGGGAGCGCCGCGCGACTCGGAAGAAGCACGGTGGGGAGCGGAAAGAGCACCGTGGGAGGCAGAAGGAGCACCGTGGGAGGCAGAAGGAGCGAAGTGGGGCGCAAACGCAGCGCCACGGGCGGTGACATCGAAGGCTCCCAAGGGAATGCGCATGGCGCACAGCAACCGCTGGTGGACCCCCGAGGTACACCTCCACGCTGCCACGTGGCGTTACCACTAGCGCCTCCACGTGACGTGTCATGCGCTCCGCGCCCAACATCGTCCACCATTCCTTATCTCCACCTTGCTTGCCTGTTTCCATCTTCTCACTAACTCAGCTTCTCATTTCTCCCACGCTTGTGTGTTCCACTCTCTTCCTTCTCTGGGTGTTTCCACCCCACATGGTTGGATGACTGGCACGTGGTGCGTGACATGTGGTGCGCGACGCGTGGTGTGTGGAACGTGGAACGTGGCACGTGGAGCAGGAGGACGAGGTGCTGCTGCAGCACGTGTGCGTGCATGGCACACGCAACTGGAGCAAGCTGCGCACCTCGGGGTTGCTACCGCCGCACCGCGACAACAAGGCCTGCTGCAACCGCTTCATCCTCCTTAAAAGGTGACTCATTCCGTTTCCGCTACAACCGCAGCACCAGCTATGTTGCAGTAACTCATTCCGTTTGTCCCATGGTCCCTGTGAACCCGTGGTGGTGATGGTTCATGGCCGTACTGCAGATCTTGGCATTCTGCACCCTTGGGAGACCAGGCGAGGGTCAGATCTGACATCTGGTGTGATGTTAAGCGCAGTCCCTACTATTCTCCGCGCACTGTTGAGTGCAGTCTTGTGTGTTCCTCTCCGTTCGCTCCCTCCTCTCTCTGCTTCTCCCGTTCCTCATCGCCCGTCCTCCTCCTCTCCCCATGCGTATCCCCCCTGTGCTCGCGTCTCATCAGGCGGTTCTTGGAGACACAAGGCGCAGGCGTGAGCACCACCATCAGCAGCATCAGCAGCATCAGCAGCAGCGGTGCGGCCAGCCTGGCAGCCACCGCCGAGGCGTGGACCTCCTCTTCTTTCGCCGCCACTCCCCACTTCCTCCCGGCTCCTCCTCCTCTCCCTCTTCCTCCTCTCCTCCTCCTCCTCCTCCTCCTCCTCCTCCTCCTCCTCCTCCTCCTCCTCCTCCTCCTCCTCCTCCTCCTCCTCCTCCTCCTCCTCCTCCTCCTCCTCCTCCTCCTCCTCCTCCTCCTCCTCCTCCACCTCCTGCTGCGTCCGCTGCTGTGGCAGCGGCAGCAGCAGCAGCAGCAGGACAGCACACGGCGCGGCCAGTGGGATGGGAGCTGGCAGCAGCACTGCTCAACGACGACAACGATGAGGCCGTTCCTGCTGCCGTTCCTGCTGCCGTTCCTGCTGCCGTTCCTGCTGCCATTCGTGCTGCATTTGGCGCTGCCTCTGACGATGCCACTGCCGCTGCTGCCTTCCAAGAGATCACACCACTCGCGGCTGCGGGCGAGTGCGAGTGGAGTGTGGGCCACACAGCAACAGCGTTGGAACATCTGCTCGGCTTCTCGTGGGATGCCACAGATGCTCCCACCTCCACTGCCCTCACCACACACTCCCTCGCCTCCAAATCGCCCCCGCTCCCTCTCTCCTTTTACCCCTCCTCGCCACCAGGTTCCTTCCCCACCCGCCCACCCTCTATCCCCGCCCATCTCCATGCCCTCGTCACCGATCCTCGGGATCTCGTCACCGATCCTCAAGATCTCGTCACCGAACCTCAAGATCTCGTCACCGAACCTCAAGATCTCGTCACCGAACCTCAAGATCTCGCCACCAAACCTCACAGTCTGGTTACCAAACCTCATGGTCTCGTCACTGACCCTCGTAGCAATTCACCACTCCCACCGTTTCACTCCTCCCCCGTGCTGCTCCCTCCCTTCCCCCCCATGCCCGCTGCTGCCCTCCACGACGCCTCCAACTCGCCCCTCTGTCCCGCGCCCGCCTCCCTCCCCTGTTGCTCCGCGTCCGCCCCGCCACTCTCCCCCCCCGTCGCGCAGCAGGGGCTCAGCCCGTCCGCCTGCCTGCTCCTCGCCGCCTCCTCCCGCCCCTCCTCCTCCCCCGCCTCCCTCCCCGCGCGCCCTCGCCCACCACACGCTGCTCGCCCCGCGTCCTCGCCCGGCCTTCTGCGCGCCCTGCCGCGCTCCTACTCGCACTCACACGCCCTGCCCGTGCTGCCCGCCCCGCCCTCCCTCCTCAAGTCCGTCAGCTCTAGCGCCCTGCCCCCGCCCCTGCGCTCCCCTGCCCTGCCCATGCCCATGCCATCCCCTGCCGTGCCCCTGCCCGTGGCAGCATCATCCCCACAGCAGCATGGGGCGTGGCCCTCACAGCACGGCCGCATCCCGCTGCCACAACCGGCTATAGATGCTCGCCAGGCAGCCGCCCCCACCCCCTCCGCCACCCGTCTGTGTTCCCCTGCTGCTCCCCCCTCGCCTCTCCACTGGCCCGCACGCAGGGCAGCAGCAGGAGGACGAGGGGGGGCGCGGAGGAGGGTGTGGGCGGCGCAGCAGAGGGGGAAGGTGGGGGAGCAGCAGCGGCAGCAGGAGAGGGCGGCATTGGTGGAGAGCATGGCGCGCTACCTGGGGCTCACCCTCCCCCATGCTGCCGTCGCTGCTGCTGCTGCCTGCACTGATGGCCCCACCGCCGCTGTTGCTGCTGTAGGTGGTGGTGGTGCTGCTGCTGCTGGTGGTGGTGGCAGTGGGGGGTGTGTGGCGGATGGAGCAAGCTTGTGATGTGAGGCGAGGAAAGGGAGTGTGCTGCCGGGCATGCATGCCTCAGCACCCTGCCATCTCAGCACCCTGCCATCTCAGCACCCTGCCATCTCAGCACCCTGCCATCTCAGCACCCTGCCATCTCAGCACCCTGCCATCCCAGCACCCTGCCATCTCCGCACCATGTTACCTTAGTACCCAGCCATTTCAGCACCAGTCATCCATCCACCTGCCATCCCACCACCTGCCATCCCACCACCTGCCATCCCACCATCTGCCATCCCACCACCTGCCATCCCACCACGTGCCATCCCACCACCTGCCATCCCACCACGTGCCATCCCACCACCTGCCATCCCACCACGTGCCATCCCACCACCTGCCATCCCACCATCTGCCATCCCACCATCTGCCATCCCACCACCTGCCATCCCACCACGTGCCATCCCACCACCTGCCATCCCACCACGTGCCATCCCACCACCTGCCATCCCACCACGTGCCATCCCACCACGTGCCATCCCACCACCTGCCATCCCACCACGTGCCATCCCACCACCTGCCATCCCACCACGTGCCATCCCACCACCTGCCATCCCACCACGTGCCATCCCACCACCTGCCATCCCACCACGTGCCATCCCACCACCTGCCATCCCACCACCTGCCACCTGCCAAATCACACCTGCCATGTCAGCATCTGCCTTCTCAGCACCCTGGCATGCCCCTCACATGCCACAGAGTACATGGTTTGCCTAGTCCCATGCAGTGCCTGCATGTGGTTAGTCCCCTATATAGGATGTGTTGCTATATTTATGTATGCTATGTAACACTATAGAAATTTATACTCGAGGTACAAAAGTTCAAAGAGCCCATTGATGCACCAACAGGCAGGTATGTGGATGATATGATAAACCCCAAATGGCGACCCACCCCCCCACTGGCGACCCACCCCCCCACTGGCGACAAAAACCACCACTGGCAAACCACCCTTGCCCTCATTGCTCTCAGCACCCCCACCACCACTTCCACTCCCTTACACATCAGCCACCACTCCCAACCCATCACAATCCCAATCACAATCACACTGGTACCACTACAGTTACTATGTGCACAGGCATGGGCATGGGCATGGGCATGGGCATGGGCATGGGCATGGGCATGGGCATGGGCATGGGCATGGGCATGGGCATGGGCATGGGCATGGGCATGGGCATGGGCATGGGCATGGGCATGGGCATGGGCATGGGCATGGGCATGGGCATGGGCATGGGCATGGGCATGGGCATGGGCATGGGCATGGGCATGGGCATGGGCATGGGCATGGGCATGGGCATGGGCATGGGCATGGGCATGGGCATGGGCATGGGCATGGGCATGGGCATCACATGTCACACTCGCGTGCGCCCCACACGTTCTCCCCCTGAGGCAAGCGCCAGTCATCAGCCCCCGGCTCACACGACGCGCGCCACACCACCTCTGCCAGTGCCGCACTCACCTCCGCTTCCCCCCCGCCCTTCTCCTTCCCCAACCCACCACCTGCCGCAGCATCACCCGCCGCAGCACCAGCAGCCGCACCAGTGGCACCAGCAGCACTAGCAGAAGAGGGGGCAGGAGGGGCGGAGGCGAAGGCAGCGCGGGTGAGGGGGGAGAGGAGGGGCTGGAAGGCGGCATGCGTGCGCGGCTCCCTCGCCAGACACAGCAGCGTGGCTGCCGCCCGCCTCACCACTCGCCGTAACGGGTGCGGTGCGGTTACCAGCGACAGCAGACGCAAGAGAAGACTGGGGGGGGAGGAAGGCGGGTGAGGGGGGAGGAAAGGGGTTGGGGGGCGGGAGGAAGAGGGGTGTGGGGGGGGGAAGAGAGGTGGCGGGGGAGAAAGGGGGTGGGGAGGAAGGAAGGCGGGTGGGGGGTGAGGATCTGAGAGAGGTGCGAGGGACTGAAGGGAGGGAGAAAGACTGCACTCTCCTGCACTCACTGCGGCTGTACGGGCAGCACAAGGCAGCAGTCAAGGCTTGCATTGCAGCCACTGCAGCACTCACTGTGGCTCACGAGCGAGGCTGTACTTGGCAGCGGGGGAGGCGTGGGCGCAGAAAGCAATGTGAATGTTGAGTCGACTCAAAGTCACTGGGGCACTCACTGGGGCTGGCGGCACTCACTGGGGCTGGCGGCACTCACTGGGGCTGGCGGCACTCACTGTGGCTCGCACGCGAGGCTGTACTTGGCAGCGGGGGAGGCGTGCGCAGCGAGGGCCACGCAGGAGAGCGCAGTGGCCTGCACGTGGGGGTCCTGAGAGGCCAGCAGCAGCGCCACCTGCCTGTACACCTGCCAGCCACGTGCCGTGAGCAGGTGCCGTGAGGGAGTGTGTGTGTGTGTGTGTGTGTGTGTGTGTGTGTGTGTGTGTGTGTGTGTGTGTGTGTGTGTTGTGTGTGTGTGTGTGTGCGTGTGTGTGTGTGTGTGTGTGTGTGTGTGTGAGGATGGGAAGGAGGAGGTTGCAGGGTGGAGGGGGAAGAGGGTGTGGTGTGGGCATAATTTTGTTGAAAAGGCAGGGAGGAGGAAGCCAGTGCGTGTTGATTTTGGCGTGTGAAAGAAGTCTGGAAGGGCGAGAGCGATGCCACATGCAACATGTTGAAAAGAGAACAAGGGTCCCAGCCAAACCCCATCCCTCCACCACACACCCCATGCCTCCACCACACACCACACACCCCATCTCCCCACCACAACCCCTTTGCCCCCAGCACACCTGCAGGGGGCCAGCAGCGGGCAGCAGGAGCAGGTCATTGTCGCGGCACAGCAGCAGCCGCCCCCACGCCTCTGCTGCTGCCGCCTGCCATGCCACCACCGGCCCCTGTAGCAGCGACGCCAGCGCTGCCAGCACCCTCTCCACACTGCATCGGTGGGAAGGGGGGGTTGGGGGGAGTGTGAAGGATAAGAGCCGAGAAGAGGAGAGAAGCAGAGGAGAGCAGATGGGAAGAGATAACGGAAAAACAAGGAACGGAGTAGAAACAAGCGTAGGGGAGAAGGGGAGTAGCAGGGTGGGACAGAGTAGGTTCTGTCGTTGTACCCAAAGAAACAAGCGTTGCACTCACCTCATCACCCCGCGACAGCCTTCCCCCCCAGCAGCAGCATCAGCGCCAGCATCCGCACCACTCCCAGACGCGCCCACAGCCATGCCATGCGCTGCCGTGTCCCCCGCGGGGTGAGCCGCAGCGGAGCGAGTGAGAGAGGCTGGCGGAGCCGACACTGCTGCTGCTGACGAGAGTGTGGGTGGCAGCGCGGAGGCGAGTGGGTGGGCGGAGGAGGGGAGGGGCGGCGAGTGCGTGGGGTAGGAGGAGAGGTCGATGGCCGCTGCAATGTTGGCGAATGTGTCGACTGCATTGCTCACCACCTCCTCGTCCTCTGTGCCGCGACAGGGGGGGAGAGCAGGGGGGTGCAGGGAGGAACAAGGGGCAACAGGGGGGTACGGGGAGCAGGGGGACAGGGAGCAACAAGGGGGGCAATAGGGGGGAACAGGAGAGGTCGATGGCCGCTGCTATGTTGGCGAATGCGTCCACCGCGTTGCTCACCACCTCCTCGTCCTCTGGCACGTCGTGGAACGGGGGGTATGGGGAGCAGGGAGGAGCAGGGGGCAACAGGGGGGAACAGGGGGGCAAGGGGCAAGGGGGGGGAGCAGGGGAGAGCCGGGGACAAGCGGAGACAATTGGGGAAAGGTGGGGTGAAGAAGAGAGTGGCAGTGGAGTGGTAGCATGGGAGGAGGGGAGATGAGAGGGCGGAGAGGGGAGAGGGGTGAGCAGTGCGGGATGAGGGGTGAGCGGGATGATCAAAGATGCACAGGGCGAGAAGCGAAAAAAAGGGATGAAGAAACAAAGGAGAGGCAAGGAAGTGCAAGGCACGGGGAAAAGAGAAGAAAAAAAACGACGTGGAACCTTCCCTCCGTGAACAGCCCACTCCGCCTTGAGAGGAGACAGAGAGGGAAGCAGTCCAATGGGGGAAAGGCATCCCTTCCCAATGGCTGTTTCTCACATCCTGCATCCTGCATTGCTCATCGTGAATGCTGGTATCTGAGAGGCCACTTCGTCTCCCCAGCATGGCAGCTCACCTCGCTGCCAGTCCTCCATGGCGCCCACCAGCATGGCCACACACGCGGGCAGGGCCGCCATGGCATCCCTTCCTTCCCTGCACGGCGAGCGCACAGCGAACCTACACATCAAAACGCCCTCTCCCCAGTGCGTGCCTCACGCTCACCTCGTTCAGAGTCCTCCATGGCGCCCACCAGCATGGCCACACATGCCGGCAGGGCGGCTTTTGAGTCGACTCAAAAGCCAATGTGGCCTTCACGCTCACCTCGCTGCCAGTCCTCCATGGCGCCCACCAGCATGGCCACACATGCGGGCAGGGCGGCCATGGCGGAGGCACAGTGCGGCAGGAAGGAGAGGTTGCGCAGCACACTGCTTGCTGCCACCGCACACTGCAGCTTCTCCCCCGCACTGCTGCTGCTGCCCCGCCCATCCCCACCGTTGCTGCTGCTGATGCTGCTGCTGTGGTTAAAGAGTGCCCTCTCTGCCCACCACACCTCCCTCTCCTCCGCACTCAGCCCCCACTCCCTCGCGCCATCCTCCCCCACTTCCTCTCCTTCTGCCTTCCCCCCCAACCCCCCTGCCGCCATGCCTCCCCCATCGTCCCCTCTCCCTCCGCCCGCATCCCCACCGGCTTCCCCTGCTCGCGACTCCACCCCGCCTCCCCTGTGCCCGCGCCCATACGCGCTCATGCCGCCAGCGCCACCAGCAGCGGCGGCGGCAGCAGCGGATGCTAGGGGGTCGTCCGCGGATGGGGGGTGCAGGGCGGAGGTGGGGCGCGCAGGCAGGGGCGCGTCCGCGGAGAGGGGGAAGTAGGTGCTGGGGAGTGGCCGTGGGGGAATGCAAGCGGGTACGGAGGGGGAAACAGGGTGTGGGGAGGGGAGGGAGCAGGGGAGGGACAGCACGAGAGGCATGACAGTGAGACAACGGAAGGGATTGTTGCAAAGCGGGGAGTTGGCGGCTACAAGGGTTGGGTGAACAATATTCAATTTGCGACCCACGATCCCACAATGTTACCATCCAACAACCCCACGATCCCACAATCGCAATCCATGCTATACTGAATGCGCTCCCCCAGTGGGTCTTGCAGCACGCGCAAGAGCCGCCCCGATCCGCCGCTCCTGCTGCTGCCACCGCCCCTCCCAGGGGGATCACCGCCCCTCCGAGGGGGATCACTGCCGCTCTGAGCTGCTGCTGCTGGGCCACCGCCCTCGGGCCCTCCTCTCATGGCTCGCCACGTGGCAGCGTCAGATATCTCAAGCGAGCAGGCGCGCCACGACGCCACCTGAAGAATTTCAAAACGGGCGGCAGGGCGGGTTGTGGGGACGCACAAGAAGGGCGGCAGAGAAGAAAGGTGGGGGCCGGATAGGGGGGTCACGGGTGTGGGGTGGGGAATTGGGTGGCGGCGAGCAGCAGATGTGAGTGACGGAGGTGGGGGACAAGGAGGGATTTACTACATGCTGAGATGATCGGCTAGATGCGGTGCAAAAGGGTGATGAGGCGTGCAAGACGAATACCACTGATACTAAGGCTGAGAGCAGCTGTGGCGCCTTGCTGAGCGGGCCAGCCCCCTGCTGCCACGTGTCCTTGAGCGAGAAGCTGATCAGCTGCAGCGCGTTGAGCGCCCACACCACCTCGCTCGTCACGCCCGCCTCCACCGCCATCGCCAGCTGGCGCGCCCTGAAGTCTGGTGCCACGTCAGCATGAGATGGGAAGACGGAGAAAAGAGACAAGACGGCGGAAAGGATGGTTGGTTCGCCTGTGTGTCGCTACGGCGATCCGATGACGACGGCGATCCGATGACGACGGCGATCCGATGACGAAGCTCTACGGTCATGCATGCAGGCATCCGTGAAGATCGGCCGGCGGATGAACGGCTGAATCGATTCGATCGTACAAGGAGTTGCCGAAAAACAACAACGGGCTGCCGCTCGAGTCGGCAATTCGGTTTAGATCCCACCCGCTACAATTTTTAAAAGGAAGCGGGACTTGTAGGGTGGTGGGAGGGAGACGCGAGGAGCGAGGCGCGACCTGTGAGACCGGCGCGGACTTGGAACAACGGGCCGGCGCTGCTGGGGATTGGTGGGAGAATTAGCGACACCGGCTTCTCCTCCCGCTCCTTCCGCTTCGCCTTCTTCGCGCCGTCCTTCCCGCCGCCCGCGACGCGCAACGAGGCGCGTCGCGCCGGTCGCTCGCCGTCGTCGGGCTCATCGGCGGATCGACCGCGCGTGGCGCGAGCGTCGGTGAGGGTCTTCCTCCGCTTGTACCTTCCCTGGGCGCGCGCCGCATCCGGCGTGCCGCTGCGCTTCTCGTTGTGGCTGGGGGTACGCTGCGCCGGCTGCGCGCCGGTGGAGTTTCGGCGCTGGGACCGCTGGACCGTGCGAAGCGTCATCGCTTTCCCTGCACTACGCTTCTTTGCCTTGCGGACTTGCCACGATGAACTAGTTGCGAGGCGAAGGTGGGCTTTGGTGTGGAATGACTGGCAACAGACTAGTTCATAAGGGGAAAAAAAATACTGTTTGCAAGAAATCCAATAGACACTATTCCCTATGGCGAGAGGTTGTGCTCGTAGCGAAGGCGAGAGAAAACCGAGCGGAGCTCCCAAGTGAGTACAGTTCAATTGAAATGTGTTACGATTGTTGCCGAATAGGTGCTACCGCAAGTGTATCGAACTGCTTAGGAAGAATCGTGTAAAGATTGTAATCAGACATGTGAAGATGACCTTTTGGTGAAATTGTAAGTTATGGTCCTGGATGTCACTCCTAGCATGGGGAAGTTGGGCTAGTTTAGCTTGGTGTACAAGCACAACCCTCCCCTACCCCCCAGCGGTGTTTCCAAATAATTAGCCACACTTCCCTTCCCCCCTCCCTTCCCCTTTCTCCCCTTGTCCTTGTCCCTTATGTCCATTGGCCAACAATTCACTCCTAAGTATAATTTGAAGTAATGCAAGATCAACAGATAGTAGCTGGAGACGCTACCATGTCTCACTTATTGTATACACAGCGTCGTGCAGAACTAGCTCCGCCAGCAAGCGTCAACCAACGCTTCCGCGGCCTTGCATGGCGGGGCGCAGGCCGGGGTAGTAGATGACGAGGTAGTAGCTGGACGGCTGCTCCATGTACGGCCGCACGTACGCGTCGTACTGCGCCTGCGTGATGCCGTCGTACGACGCCGTGTGCTGCAGCGAGTGCCGCCCCTTCATGAACGGCTTCAGCGGGTTGTACGGCGACTTGCTGCGCTGCCACCCCACCGTCTGGTACCCGCTGAAGGCCTGCGAGCCGGCCGTGCCGGGCTTGCCACGGAATAGGCGGTAGTAGGGCGCGGCGCCCTTGGTGGTCACCTCGTTCAGGTCGATCGACATCGTCTGCGTGTACGTGCCGTCCTCGCTGCGCGACGCGCGATTCAGAGGGGGGGACGGGGGGGGGGGGGGGGGAGATTGAAACGGTAAGCAGCGTTCCGAGCAGCGGGTTGAGGCTTGCCGCGTGACACATCGGCATTGCAATGAGCGAAAAGGGGGTGAAAACTGGGCGCGAACTGACGTGAAATGGACAAGCAAACGGAAAGTGGACGAGCGAACGGAGAATGGACAAACAAACGAGGACTAGCCATGACGAGAAGAGGACGAGTATAGACGAGAGGGGGCGCGGCAGGGCAGGCGAGGCAACTGACTTTTTGTAGACGCGCAGGCTGGCCTTGCCGCTGGAGATCATCTCATTCTTGTTCCTCGAGTCCAGCTTGAACATCACCGCGCCTGCGCGCACACACACCGCACCAACGGTTAGTCCGCCTGGTGCGTACACCAGCACGGGAAGGGAGACAAAAAGACGGAGGACGCGCGGAGAGAATGAAGCGGTTCACTTACTGACTAAGTCAGCTGCAAGCGCTGGAGGCGTCACGAGCGCGCCTGCGTGGAGTCAGGGGGAATGGGATGGTGAGGAGCGCAAGGGATGCGGGTAAGCACGGGTGCGTAAGCGCGCCATGGATAGCGCCTCTAAATTCCGTACGTGCAGGCGCGACATTTGAAGCGAGAATTCTGTACATTGCGTAACGTAAAAGGTAAGCGCGTGAAGTGATGTTGGGCTCGTCGGGCCTTACATATTAGGGTGAGGAGAACTGCTATATGAATGGTTCTCATGGTGGAAAGGGGACGTATTAAGCGGCGTACGTCAGTCCTAGCAGGTGCACTCTAAGCTAGGTAGGGTATAGATTGAAGTGATAAAGTCTCGCGTGTTCGTCGGCACTGTGGGCTTAGTGCTCCCTAATCTTCTAGGTACGTATGTAAGGCCGAATTTAGATGAAGCAGTTTACTTTGGTACTTTATAAACTGCTGATATAGAAGCTGGTACCGACAGCGTCTAGCCACGTGAAAGCAGCAGTGGACTGGTGTCGGTGGGACGCCAATGCGATGAGAGAACAATGGCCGTCTTGCTGGTTGACAGGCGCGAGTGGAAAGTCATGTAATTTCACCTCTGATTTGGAGGACGATGGGGCCAACTGCGAGAGGGGAGCCTCATCAACTGAAATTTCCGTGCGTGCATTGCGATAGGGAAATCCGCCAGCCACAAATGCGCGCGTCGCCGTCGGAACCAAATTTTCGCGCGCACCTCAGAAAGCGCGACTCACGGCACACCACGTCCGAGCGTGGGGAATGGCAGGCTGTTCCAAAAACAGAGGCTTCGCCACAATCTCATTTCCACGTGTTTGTTCGTAGAGAGACGTTGCACATGGAAGCTGGATACTCAAGTGTGCATATACAATGGCGGAAACCTCAATGACGAATATGTCAGAGAGCTTGACTTCTCCCAACCAATTGAGCTTCTCCCACTGCTTTTTCTCCCTCACCGCTCGCTTCACCCTCTTTCCTTATTGTCGCAAGATCTACGATCACTCTGACAAATTTTCCTAGATTCTGGCTCGCTGTCCGTATGTAATTCCTCCCTCTCAACTCCACATCTCGTGGAGATCCCGCATGAATCTACTTGTTGCGCTTGCCGCAAAATAGCTGTCTACCGCGTTCCTGAAGAGCAATACGCGATTCGTTGCCAGATTCCTGGTAATCTTTACTAGCATAAGCGGCTTCCGCCTCTGGCTTATCTGTGTAGTGATCAAGCAAGATGCACATACTGGCATGCTCTTCCAGATTCTGTGTACTCGGCATTCTGCTGTTGCTGGGACTGATAGCTAGAGCGAATGCGTCCGTGCACACCTATAAGGGAAATCGGTTTTTCCACACCGCGGATGCATTCCTGTTCCGCGGCGGGCGGGAGGGGCTCTTCTCGTCGACGCCGGAGGCGGTGGCGCACTGGACGACGATCGGCAAGGCCGTCGCCAATGGCAAGGCTTACGTCCGGTATGTGTGCTCCCAATGTTCCCAATGCTCTCACGCGCTCCCATTCTCTGCTGATTCCTCTAAATTCGCTCAAAATGGCGACGAATGACCAAGCTAGGTTACTGTTTAACATTTTATATCAGTTGCCTATGAATCTGATTTTCTGAAACAAATCGTCGTCTGCGATCGGCATGGGGAAGAGAAGAAGCGGTGGTGCGTGAGAGCGAGGTTCGTTGAAACCAGCTGATTTGCTCTGTCGTCGCACCATTCTCTTCCTCGTGCACCACGCGTGCGCGTCGCCACTCGCGACGACACCAGGCACTGCACGCTGGAAGGAGCATGTCGAACAGTCGCCTGGGTAACACTTAATAGCACTGTGACCTGTCGGCCAGTGCCGGCTTGCGAAACAGGAGACGGCCATGGCGATTTTTGCAACTCCTTGCAACGTCCGCCGCCCTTCCCAGTCCGGTTCGCGCACCACCATCAGGTTGCATCGCTTCCACCTTCCACCTCCCATCACCAACCCCCTCTCCCTTCCCTCCTCTCCTCTCCTCTCCCCTCCTCTCCTCTCCCTTCATCTCCCCCGCTCTCCCCGCGCCCTGCGCGCGCTCCCCCGTGCAGGTTCCAGCACCTGACCTTCCACCGCCCCATCTGGGAGGCGCGCGACGCGCCGGTGGCGGGGCAGACGGGGCTGATCGAGGCGCTGCTGTTCGAGGTGGGCGACCGCGCGCGCATCGGCCACACATCGCCCACCGGCACGCGCTCCTTCTGCTGCACGCCCGAGCTCGTGCGCAAGACGGGGTGCAACCCGGGCCACCTCATCGTGCGCCCGCGCGACGACGACAGCAAGGTCAGCCGCGCGCCGTCGGGGGCGCGGAGAACTTAGGAGGGTGTTGAGGGTTGGGTGGAGGAAGTGCGGAGGGCATAAAGGAGTGGATTGCGATGGGGTCTCCCTGACCGCTGGTACAGCCTCTTGCGAGTGTCCCTGCACCTAGCTTCTCCGCTCCCCCGTTACCCCTCACTGCGCACCCACCCCGCTCTCATTCACGCTCGCCCTCCCCTCTCCTCCTCTGCCCTCGCGCCTCACTCCAATCGCCGCTCTTTGGCCTGCGTGGTCTCGGGTCTGGTCGCGCATTTCTCGCGGCGCTGGTGGCGCAGTGGCCGCGAGTGGTGGAGATGCACGTGATGGGCAATGGCAGCGCCGTTGAGGCGCGCCCACCCCGCCCTCATTCCCGCTCGCCCCTTACCTCTCACCCCGCCCCACCCCTCCCCACCCCTCACGCGTCACTCACAGTGGCCGCGCGTGGTGGAGATCAACTTCATGGGCAACGACAGCGCGGTGGAGGCAGCGGCATCGGAGATGCACATAACGCGGACGGGCATGTACTACCTGTGGTTCGTGATCTGCGACAAGAACCTGGCGGAGGTGTCGGTGACGGGCGGTACCGTGTGGAAGAACCCCTCCGGCTACCTGCCCGGCATGATGACTCCCTACCTCAACTTCTTCAGCGCCATGTCCATCGTGAGCACTTCATATGCCCGTTGTCAGTCCTCCGCTGCTGAGTGAGTAAGCCGCTCATTGCCAGTCGCTGCTTGCAATGGGTCGTGCGCCTACCCGGCATGATGACTACCTACCTCAACTTCTTTGGCGCCATGTCCATCGTGAGTGAGCCATGACCATTGCTAGTCCCCCATGCCCATCACCAGTCGAGTTGCTGAGATCACCTCACTGCTTGCACTGGGACCTCTCCTGCTCCTACCCCACCTCCCTCCCTCCTCTCTCCTCTGGGATCCTCCTTTACTTTCCTCCTCAACCGTCCGCCCTTCCCTCTCCCGCACCGCAACCCTCCCCCTTCCCCTCTCCACTCTCCCCCTCCTCTTCCCCTGTCCACCAGGCGTATCTGCTGCTGGGCTTGCTGTGGTTGGTGCAGTATGCGCGGTTCTGGAGGGACGTGCTACAGCTGCAGCACTGCATAACGGCCGTGCTGTTTCTGGCCATGGTGGAGATGGCGGCGTGGTACTTTGACTTCGTCAACTTCAACGCCTCGGGCTACCGCCCCATC